CATATAATATCTTGCATATTAGGATCAGGGACTAGCACCTCTACACACTCATTAAATCCATTAATAATTGTGTCATTTGTTTGTATATCCTTGTCAATATAAAAAAAAGCTGAGTTCAAATAATAACCAGCTGCATGCAATGGCCGATGTAGCTGCCTATCACACTTCTCATCAATAATATAAAAAACAGGCTTGTAGCGGGTTTCTTCATTATTGAAATTTTGGGCTATCTCTCTTTTGCATTTCTCCATAGCATCATATAAGACTTGTCATTATCAACCATGCGAAGGACTTTGACAAGAGGAAAAAATACCTCAAGAGCGCCCTTCACCCCTCTCCAAAAAGCCTTAGAAAGTATAACATCTCTCACCTTCTTCCCAATCTAATCTTTAGACCACTTGCATGCTCTCTACTCATCTGAGATAAACATTTGCCTCAACTGCACTCTCCTCAAATGTATGCTATCTAGGCATAAGTACCATGTCACAAATCTCGTGACCCCCAAGCCTCACAATCTCTTTCTTATTTGTAAAGGTACGCATCATGCTGAGGGTGAGATGATGGCTATAAATGAAATTTGTAACTAACTTCTTCATTGCACCTAATATCGCGGTTAAACCGCCAAGAGCCTCAAGCACGAGGTCTATACAATGTGCTGCACATGGTGTCCAAAAAATTCTAGGATAAGCTATGTGCAACAAATTAGATGCAGCAACATTAGGAGTAGCATTGTCTGTGACAACCTGTACAATAAGATGCTCCCCAATCTCCTCTTGCCAAAAGATCTTTTTGGGGTGGATTCCCTTGCGGACCTTGTTTTTGGGGTGGATTTCCTTGCAGGCCCTGAGAGAGGGTTTATTCTCTCAACGATTTTCTTTATTTTATTGTTATTGTTCGAGTTTTATTTCTCCCTGCATCACAATAGCTCTTTATATTTGCATCGTAACAAAGAATAGTATTGTTTAAGTTGTTCGCTGATGTCTAAACGAGTCCTCACCAGATGATTTCATTATACTGGAGGCTATATCTATTTTTCCAAATTTCCAGAAGTCCATGCTAGTCCATGCCAAAAATCTTTTATTGATCTCATGATAAATGGAATACTATGTTCTACAAGGTTGCAGATCGAGAGACTCTTGTCATTGAATGAATTTAACAGAAAAACCATTAATTACAAAGTAATAATGAAGAAGGATTAGGATCACTCAGCTATTACCCTTGCAAACCATGGGAAAAAGAGGAGAGAAACACTTAGATTTAGGAGCACTGATCAACTTGCTGCATAATGCATCATAATCCAGCAATCAAGTATCTGGAAGGATAGGAATCTGAAATAAATGGCAGGACCTTCTCCTTCCAACATATAGTATGGTGATTATATTTTGAACCACATTTTAGAAGTAAATAGATTTTCATAGTGAGGTTACCATAGGAGTTAGTATTCTCAATTGTCGTGTAAGAGGTCAATCTGGCCTTTGAATAGCTACTGGTTTTGGAGGACCTCCTAAGCTACCTCATTCCCAGAAATCGAGAAATGCAGTGATTCAATGGCCTGAAATCAACATATCCATTCTCTGTTAAAGCCAAAGACATTGATTATCTCCAGTGAACGAAAATTTGGCTGCCTTGCTGCCTAGGCTGCTTTTTTTCCAAACCGCTTAGTCATGGGCAACGCAGCATGCTCTGGACGGGTCCATCTAGGCACCTTCCTAGGCGGCGTAAAAGGCAGGTGCCTAGGTGCCGCCTTGATCTGCACCTTCATTCAGCTGATTTAATGCCAAACCAAAAACTAGTATTAATTAATATATGGAAGGGTTAGATTTTTTAACAGTAACCATGAGCAGCTATATTAATTTTTTGGTAAACCAAAAAATATTAATTCAGTTTTAATTAATAAATGGAAGGATTAGACTTTTTATGCTACTCCTGACTAGCTATATTAATTTATTGGTAAACCCAAAAAGAGTATTAATTTAATTTTAATTAATATATGGAAGGATTAGGCTTTTTGTGTCACTTGTCGATAAAGCTTTTTGCATGTAACAGTCTTGAGTAGCTATATTAATTTATTGCACTCCTTTCATCAATTGCATATCAGTTTGGTAAATGTCTTGAAGTGCAACTTAGGTTGGAGAAAATAGGAATCATCCAGGCTGCATTTGTGTCTAAACGCCTAGGCGGCCACATCTGCATTTTTGAACCTTGATTATCTCAAAGTAGAATTGCTATTCTACTTTGGTAGAATAGCCAAAAACTTGACTTACAGTTTTTATTTTTTTGGAAACTAACTTGATGTACCTTTGTTAGCTAGGTTATATAATCTTATAATAATTTCGGAGCTATTGGGGCACTTCTCATGATGAATTTCTCTCAAATTGATGTTCCTTATTTAGGGATTTTGGAATAAAGCCTATTGGGGCTTACTCTTGAATTTTTGAGATGATCTTAGAAATGTTAGCAAAGGCTGATAGGTCAAATCATGGATAGAAGTTGCATAAGTGAAATTGAGAGTGAAAGGTGCGTCGGTCGAGAGAGCTGCTATAGAAATGATCACTTCCATGAAGCAATTGTCGCATCAAAGAAGTCCCCTTAATTTAATCTACCAAAAAACTAGGTGTCCACTTTAATTATCCCAGAGTGATTCTATAAAAGCTTCTTGGAAGATTCATCTGCACTGTATATGAATTGCAGGATCTCTTCTTTGGAGAGATTGCTACTGAGAAACTCTTTGCAAATATCCTTAACCAGCTTGGGGATTCAGTTAAGTAGTAAACATTCTCTAGTACACTCTAGAGGCATAATCTCAAAGAAAGAATGGATGGCTCTCCAAATATCTTTTTGTCATATGAGAGTATTTCATTTACCTAATTAATTAAGTTCTGAGTTCGACACTTCGGCTTGCTACAGTGAAAAAAGCTGTACACTGAGTTGCTGAACATGACCTTTAATTATTTGCTACCGAACTTTGGTACTCGCGGTCATCTTTTCTTTCTCTAGCTATGTTAGGTTCTACATGTTGGGAATTTCCCTCATATGTATGTGAGAAAATATTTTTCCTACACCCAACCAATTGATGATGCCTTTCTCTAGCGTTTCTAATGTGGTTGTGGTTTGCAATAATGTGTCAACATTAAACAATCAAAGTAAGGCACACCTCTGAACTTTGTCGGAAGATGCAGTTTTGGTGCCAAAAGTTTTTACAATGGTCTGAAAATGTAATTTTACCCTTTGTCATGAAATTTAAAGCTTGAAAAATGGTGCAAATTAAGCAGATCTAAAATCAATTGAAAATTTTGAAAATGGGTGTTCCAGATAATATGTTCCAAGTTGCACTTTTTATAGGGCTTGAAATCATTTTTTTTTATATTTGTATATCTCGAGTTTGAGATGATCAATTGAAGGATTTTATAGCATCAAAACAACCTTTTCCAATGGCTTTTCGAAATGCACCTTACTTCTGTAGTATAAGGTTGATGCCTAATATAAATTTTCTTCCTTCTAATATTTGTTGCATCCAATCCACGAAGCACCTGTGAATAGAGAAGACCCTCTCACTTGCCTCCGAAATCCCTCTCTTTTCCCTAGTCAATATATTGAGCATTTGGACTTGCTTTAGTGGACATTCTGTGGGCATCTTTTTTCCTTGGAAGCTTTTTTTCTTTAAAGAAATATTCTTTTTCTTAGAATCTGTAAAGATTAGTGATATGTTGGTGTCCTCATTCTCCTGAAGGTGCTGCAATGTTGATTTCTTTTGCTCTAGACGAGTTGATTGGAAATGACCTATCTTTTAGCAGCTCGATTCTTTTCTACTACCTTCTTTTTGTTTATGTACATGTTTTCTATATGTTTCATGCAGTTTATTGTAAAATATGGTACTTAGAAATTCTTTATTTACAATTAGTGAAAACTCTTATGAACCCTAAATATGAAATAAAGTGCAGAAATTCTCACATTTATGCAGCATAGATAGACAGCCTCTGAGAAAGGAATTGTCATAACGATAACATCAAAGACATACACCCTTTTTTGCAAAATAATTTTATGATATCCTGTTTTATTATCAATATTTTGTAAAAATATGTTTACCTGTTTCACTCAAATATCTGCTGTTTATGCCATTCATTAATGAAAAAATGGCATAAACCAGCTCTTGACCTTTCATATGTGTGTGTGCATGCACGTGTGTGTTTATTACAAATATACGGTTATTTGACTCATTTATAACAGAATGGGCTCCTATTTACCGGTGGAGAAGATTGTAGTGTGAGAGCATGGGACCCAATGACTGGGAAGGTTGCATTTTCCTTTGAAAATGCACATTCGACTCGTCTAAAAGGCCTTGTTGTTTTTGGGGAAAGAGATGACCAGGGTGATGATGCTCCATACATCATGGCATCTGCATCGTCGGACGGGGTCATAAAGGTTTGGGACTTGAGGATGGCTACAGAGAGGCCGACCCCATTGGAGGAAGCTTCCATCAAATGTCGGCTAACTTGTTTTGGAGGATCCTATATTAGAGGTTTGTTTCTACTTTTTATCCATTCTTATTGTGATTCCTCTATCTTACTTTAACTTTGCTAAAGTATATTATAATCCAATGGACCATGCAAAACTATGTATTATAATCCAATGGACCATGCAAAACCATAGTCGATCGGAATAATGACGGAGGTGGAAAGTGAAGTTTGCCATTGGGCTGGGTCGTCACTGTGCAATGAAATGATGGACATTGATGGAAAGAGAGTGGAAGCTAGCCATTAGGTCCTGTTTTCTCTCTCTCTCATCCTTTAATTGGATGGTGATGGCCCTCTCTTTTCATTCATCCCATTGTTGGGCGGTGATGACTCAAGTGGATTATGGTTTTGTACATTTCCCATTAGATGATAAAATCCTTTAACCTTTTGTTGATTCTGTTGCTTCCTTCCCCCCTGCTCATTCACATGAGATTCGATACCGCTTTTCTGGTCTGTTTTCCCTTGAGCATCCTCCTCTGTGGATCGCCAAGCTTTTGTACATCTCTTTCTCATCAATTTAAGGTTGACATTATCCAAAAAATAGTAATACACACTGATGTACCAAAAGAGTCCAACCTTCTTGAAATAGGCCAAAACATCCTACCCAAGTGCTTCCTTTATAGCACTATTTCTGGGAATTGCAAAAGGGTGTGTTTGAGTGGGTTACTGTTCACTATCACGAAACAATTGGCTGTTCTCTGACTTGTTTTGAAGTTGTAGCACTTACCTTTCTTACGTTTTGCCCAATTAAGTGGAAACTGTGTTTTTTTTTGTGTGTGTACGTGTGTACATCATGTGGAACAATCTGCTTCCATACATTTATGTATAATTATTTGGGTAAGGATACCTCGTGTATGTTCATTTGTATGCATTTACATGCATGCGCACGTGTATGTGTACCCACGCTTGCATCAAGAATTACTCCAAGGGATGCTGCCATTTTGTTCCAAATGTTTTTTTTTTTTTTTTTCTTTGGATGATTGCCTGTTTGTTGCAAATGTTATTGACTAAGGTGTATACAAGACTAGCTATGCATGGTTTGGGGCTTTTTTGTGGGTTTGCTTGTTGAGCAATGATCCAATGCAATGGTTGTATCATAGTATAATGCAACGACACTTCTAAAAAACCATGATTGTGGTATTTGTATGACCTCAAATTTTTCCCACACACTCTCTTCATCTCAATAATCAATCCCCCCCCAAAAAAAATGTTCAATTTGAACCCTAGATATGGTCAAAATGTGTCCCCTCCAAAAATGAATCTAGACCATTCATTTTGTGAATTTCAAGATCTTAGCCTTTATAAACTGAAAATCATTTTTTTCTTTTTTAACATTGTTCATCTAATGATAATAAAGCCGTCCAAAAAGATCGGAAATGAGAAAATCCTTCCTAAGGCCTAGATCTAAGCATCTCACCAAAATGAAGGACCTATGTTAATTGGGCTAAAAAAATGCTTTCTAGGTTGTGTTTTCAATTTTTTCTTTTTTTGTGATTGTTCATTAGAATGAAAAGACTGTATATTTCAAAATTTGGATCAAACTAATGACTATAAGATGGTTTTTTAAGGTTGTTGCATCATATTATTATACAACGGTTACATGAAATCATTGCCCTTGGTTGTTAATGCATGCATCTTATTATGTTTACACAACCTTGCTTTGTCAACAAAATTGCATTCATAAATTGATTTATGTTCAAATGTGCATGCGATAATCCACCCATACATGACTTTGCATGATATGTTCTAGCTTCTATACATCCAGCCATCACGAAAACTTTTTTATTTTTTGAAGTGTTAACAATTACACGAAAGCTTTTTAATTGTGGTTGGTAGAAGTTAAACTCTATTTCTTTGTCAAGGAAACACACATAGGGAAGAAAAACTGTACCGTGTTTTTCAGATCTATCTAAAAAGTTTGTAAATTTTATTCAGAAAATGCATGACTTGTTGATTATAGTTCACATGTTCTTCATTTCTATTAGCATACTTGATATTTTGGTCACAAATACCCTCTTTTAAGTTTTACTGCCATTTGTGTATGCACATGCTCTGTGTGTTTGTGGGTGGGTGTGTGTGTGAGTGAGTGTGTGAGAGAGAGATGATGATGATGATGACGACAACGATTATGGTGTTTTTGTTCTCTCAGCTTCGAGAAAATCATCAAAGAGTTAAAATTTTCCGGAGTGTACACTATAACTTTGGGGACTCTATGAGGTGATAGATGGGGCCACACAAGATGGACAGATGGCTTTTAGTACACCAGAAATGATTGATTGAGGTATTACATTTCTCTGTTTTGGAGTCATGAAAATAGTGAGAGATTCACAGCCTGTTGGTTACTTTGTTTTTGCATGGGATCAACTTTATGTTGGATTTGAGTAGTCAAGAATGTATAAATATTCGGAAGCCTATCAATTTTGATGTGAAATGCTTATTGGACCATTTCCTTTAAAAGGCTGATAGTGTCATGTTCTTTGGGCATATTAGCTTTTTGAATTTGCTCATGAGACTATCCTTGAGTTTTCTTTATGTGCTCCTTTGCTTCTTTTGTTAGAGAGAGATTAATATATATTTGGTTTTAGTGTTTAGTCAAGAATGTATAAAGCAGTGACAAAAAATCACCAATCCAATCCTGAATTGCTTGAGTAAGATCGAGTTCATCAGCTGGAAATCGGCTCGATTCTCTGGTTTTTAACTACTTTATTATTATTATTTTTAATTTCTTTGTTAGATATCAACCTGTCTTGGGTATCACTCAAGCCCGAAGGGTCAAATTGGAATGAGACCCCCGCAAGTTGGGGCCCTGTTCTGACATTTGAAATGCTTATTGAACCTTTTTTTTTAATTGGTTTCTTAGGTGGGAATCGGCCTGTTCTGGGAGGCTATTTTTCAGTCCTCTTCTTTTGCTTCTTTTTTCATCAGAGAGAGAGAGAGAGAGATTAAATGTGGTGCCATCTAAAAGAGAGGGATAAGATTGGTTGCTTTCTTATTGCTCTTTTGCGATTGCAATGTAACAAAAACTATACAAGTCCATTTATCTTTGGTACAGAAGCTTGCAAGCACCCATAGTTGCCTGTCTGATATAGCAATTAATGGTTGGGGACATTGCCATTGATTGTGCTCAGGTTCAAAAGAATTTTTTTGAACTTTGTGCATAAACATAATATATTCTGATGGCATGATTTTACATCTAACAACTAGGAGATTACGACCTTGTTTTATTAAGGGTAAATTGATATTATGCCTTTTGCCTGCAGGACCTTTAGCCACACTCATACATTCTTGGCCCTAAAAATGAGGAATCATGTGCTAAAGCCTATCACTTGAGGACCTTGCTTCTTTTTTTTTTGCAACATTGGTGGGCTTTGGAATGGATTGGCTGGTCTGATCAGTTGGATTGCTGACGTCTATCTTGACCGGCCTGGTCTAAATAAAAAATTGGTTTAATAAAAAGTAGTCAAATTAATGTTTGACTGATTTTGGCTTAGCCGGATTTATTATTTTGATTAATGAAGTTGGGCAAATTTTTTGTACCATATTATTACATATTTAAAACTTTTATTTTTATCTTTTCTTTGACTTGTTGAATATGACTATGGACAATCCGTAATGGAACCAATCTTTTGTTGATTGCCATGGCACAACCTTAGCTATGATCATCCTTGGCCTCTTAATTGCACAGTGAACAAGATTGTTGAAAACCAGTAGAGGCAAAGAACCCTTATGGCCTCTGTTTGTTTTCAACAATCATGTTGCCTGTATTTGTTCTCAACAATAGTAGTTCAGGTTTTAAAGGTTGCACGCTGTTTGTTTTGCAAAACATTGTGTGAAACTCGTGGAGAGAGGGGAGGGGACTTACTATCAGCATGAATTATAATCTTAGGGCACAAAGGTTGATGTATCCTTTATAAAAAAAGCATACAATAAGACCATTTATCTGTGGTACAAGTGGTCACAATTAATCATTATCATCATTGGATGTGAAATTAGGTGGTTGTATTTATTTATTGATCAAGCTCAAACTTAGAAAGAATTTTTTTCGAACTTTGTAATACAATCAAGCTATTGGATTTCACTTTGGATAGTTGTAAGTAATTGTGACTTTCTTATATCAAATGTAAATGGTCTCATTGTATGCAATAATCCCGTGATTTATGGCTCATGTGGATGCTCATCAAAACATATTTTAGCCGTGTTGGGTGGGTGGTGTGTTAGGTGATGGCCAGTATGTGCTTTGGGTGGTTTATTTGACTACCGATTTTTGAAAGTGTTTAACAGTGAAAATGGAGCCTTTGGGTGGTTTATTGACTACTGATTTTTGGAATTATTAACAGTGAAAATAGAGCCTATTTTCACCATGGCAAGAAGCTTCCCAAGTCAGTAAAATTTACACTAAAAAACACACATCAGAGAGAGAGATGCCTATTTTCACCATGGCAAGAAGCCTCCCAAGTCAGTAAAATTTACACTCAAAACACACGAGAGAGAGAAAGATTTGTTTTTGCTATATCAGATGACATTTTTTGAAGTCCCATGATTCCATCCCCTCTCCTTCTCCCTCTGATGTTGCTTGTTTTGTTGCACTGCCCTTGCCAACTTGCTACCACCTCCCAACAAAACTCTCTGGGCCCGGCCACCAATTGATACTCTAACTCCTCTTTCCTCTCTTCTCACTCTATGCTGCAAAGGAGATTTCACATACAACTTCTTATGAAGGCTTCTCCTAAGTAAACTGTTAATTTTAACCCCACTGCTCCTTAGACCCTTTATTCTACCACTCATCATTTGATCTGTATCATTCATCTCATCAGTTGCCTCCTCTATACAATCCACTAAGAATGGAGAAGTATCGTGTAGGGTGTGATGAGTGAGAGGTGGGTTAGAGAGAGAGGGGTGGGCGAGAGGTGGGTTAGTGAGAGAGGGATGAGAGAGAGGGGGGTCAGAGAGAGTAGTTGTTGGCAATAATGGTGGAGGAGGTGGTGCAGTTTTCATTGTGGCCAGAGGGATGAGAGACATTCGTCGAGGAGCTGGAGTTATCGGTATTCGACGGGCAGTGGGACAAAGAGAAGCGCGGCCAGTTCTTGGCAGCTGCTCAGTAATATCAGATTTGTTCTCCTTTTGTATGGGAAAACAGTTGGATAAGTTATCACTATTAGCTCTGTTTTTTGTCTCTATATTATGTGGGGGTTTGTTGTTGTTCTCAGCCAAGGGTTGGATAATGTTGGTTATGACCTCGAAGGGTTCGGAGTTGTTCTTAGAGTTTGCCAATTGTTTGGATGTAACCTGAAGAAGCTTAGGAGCCTCTACGAGCTTGAAGTCAGTTTGTTGCCTTGCTGGTTTTCTTTCTCTTTCTATCACTACCCGTGACTCCAATTCCTTCACCTGCAACATCCCCACAAAGAAAATTTATGATAAATGGAGAAACTAGGTATGCTAATGCCTATGAGCCATTGCTGCTGATCCGGATGTGCCTTGGCAATATAATTGAGAAACAGATTCTAATTATTTGGGGTATAAGAAACAGTGAGAGAATGAACTTTGAATGATTCTGCTGTATGAGTGAAGATGATCACTTGTGGTTAACTGTGGAGCAACAAATAAAGAAGCAGCTCTTACCTTTTCTTGTAAGTTCTTAGTGTTAGCATCTCTGGACTTTATCTTTGATTCCAGAGTGAGAATTGTCTCTTCCAGTTTCTTTATTTGCCCGTCCTTGCTCTTAATGTCTTGCTTGGCCTTCTCAGACTTTAAAGGAAACAAAAGCTAGTTAGAGCAAGAGAACAGTGATTGAAGTTTAAGCAGATCTCTCTCACAAACACACAATTGCTCTGTCACACACGAGAAAGAGAGAGAGAGAGAGAGTACCAGCTGTTTATATTTAAACAACTCGCTGTTATCAAATTGCTTCTTAGCAGGGCCGAGCTCGATCCCTCTCACCCTGCTCGCAAAATTCAGGGAACAGAGTGTCTCATTTACATCGTTCTCACTTGGGCTACCCTGCACGAACATCAGTGTCTTGGAATCTCCTCCTGCAAGAAGGAGAAAGAAATTACAGAAAAAGAGAAAGAAACCTAACCGTTCAGGAATCTCCCCCTCTCAGTAAATTACAGAAAAAGAGAAAGAAACCTGACCATTCAGGAGAAACATAAGGCGGGGACATGAAAGATAAGGTACCTAATGAATCTTGAAGCAAATGGGTTAGCTTGGAATTCCTGCACAATTTGGTAAACCAAAGGATCAATTGGAGAGAGAGAGAGAGAGAGAGAGAGAGAGAGAGAGAGAGAGAGATTTTAAGGTCCAACAAACCTGAAAGGTATGTGTGGGCTTTTAGTGGCAAGAGCTGATATTACATCACCAAGAGCTGAAAGAGATTTGTTTATGTTCTGGGCTTCCTTCAATCGCTCTCCCTGAACATCAGTCTTGGCCACTCTCTCACTTCCAGCCAGATCAACCAACCATAGCTTGCTTCTTGTGCATTCCCCATTAATTAGGTTCTCCCCTCTCACCATTACACAGTGTATGCTGCACCGAACAGAGTGTGTGTCAAGCCATAACTAATTGTGGGACACTTTTGAACTGTGCCAGAGCAACTTAGTGTTTGTAAAGCCAAACTAACTACGAGCCAGTTTGAACATGGTATCTCTCTCTTTCTCTCTCTCTCTCACACTCAGAAGTGCGCACATGCACAAAGGAAAAAATGCAGAGACATACAAAGAGTGCATACTATAATGTTAATGCTCTCTATTTATGTATATCTCGTGTGGGATAAAGAAAAAGACAGAAGAATCACCAGTGGGAGCGGCTGCTATGCTCATTAGCATTAGTTGAACCTACGGCTCTTGCATTGCTCCCAGTTTGTAAAACTTCCCAAACCTCATTCATGTCAATTACATGTGCTTCGACAAGTCCTGGAACAAGATGAACTCCCTCTGCAACTTGCCTGATTTCCAATCTGACAAGAAAAAATAAGAAATATAAATTTAGAAGAGAGTATCATTAATGAAGGGCAGAGTGATCTTAATTATTTTTACAGCTAAGCAACTTCCAGTGCCGTAGACTAGTGGTATCAGCTGCTATCAATTGAAGTTGCCTATATGGATTAAAACTTCTTGTTGGCAGGTATCTTCATGTCATTTCTACTGGGAAAGTAAAAATTATTGGTAATCGCAAGGCATTTTTTTTACCAGAAATTCGCGATATTAATTATTTTGAAATCACCCACATGAGACATTAAATGTATATCTCTGCAACTAAACAATGACACATTTTGATATCAACTTTCTGTGTTGTGCTTAACAAAGGATGGAATCCCCTGCCCAACCATAGGACATTGGCATTGAACATTTTGGTGAAGGATAACAAAGTTCACACTAGAGAAAAATTGTTTAGCAAATCCTACATGTAAACACCCAAATGGGTGAGTACATGGAGATGTAATCACACAACACAACGTCAAATTCTGTAAGAAAATATCACAATGTCAAATTTTGTAAGAAAATATTTTCATTGAATACTATTCTTTCACATAACCAAATTTTACCTCTTTGCAGTTTGCCCTGGTTGTGAAGTGGAAGCAAGAAGATCTCGAATTTGCTCATTATAGACTTCCAGGACACTCACTGATATTTCATACTTAAGGAACCCTTTCCTTTCTTTGATTATGCGAAAAAGCTCATAAAGGGTTTGGTAGTTGACTCCTCTGTCTTCCTCTGTACCCTCCATTGTGAATGTTTTCCCAGTCCCAGTTTGTCCATAAGCAAATATACAGACATTGTACCCATCCAAAACAGATGCAGCAAAGGGTGCAGTGTCCTCAAAAACAGTAACTGTTTAACCACAAGCAAAAGGTCGTTAGATATCTTTATTTGCAGATAGTTAGTTGCTAGCATACATGAATCTTATATTTTAAGCATTGTAAACATTGAGAATTTGGCCACATCCTTTTATGATGACAAAAATTGTTAATTTTGTCATATTATAATTTTTTCAAAAATTCAGTGAGTAGTCTGGTACTCTAGGTAACAAAGTACTTTGGCTTGTAGTCCACACCCTAGACTGGTGTGGACTCCAGGGAGTAGTTCGGTACTCTTCCAAGCTGACCTAATTTAACATAGGTCATACTAAGGTCCCAGTATCTCTCTCTAGATATCCGAACAGCACCCTGGATTGGTGTGGTAATTGGGTATTCCACAAGCCGAAGTACTTCAGTAACTAGAGTACCTGACTACTCCATGGACTACGTTATCCTAACTCAGTACTAATTGTGGCGAACTACTCCCAGAATTTTTGAAAAAATTACATAACATGAAACTAACATGATGTTATAAGTTTTAATGGGTCTGGCTTGCTCAGTATAAATTTTGATTTTTAAAAGTACAGTAGAAATAATGGCCCATTCTTATATTAATAGTAAGTAAACTTTACAATTTTTATGTTATTTTGACCATTTTTATCAATATGTAAAAAATTATAAATTAATTTAAAAATATAATGCTCATTTCTCAATAAAAATGCTGATATATGAAATTTGAACTTTGTAACTGCTAATTAAAATTCAAAGTTTAGCATTTTATTAAAAACAATACCTTTAATTTTTATGGTGCGGTTTGTATAGAGCCTAGGCTCTAAACAATCAAATTAGAGCCTACCTTCAAATGGTGTTGAGAATTGTGGTTTCAATATTGAAAATATTTGTGATAGCCTTAAAATATATTTTCATATTTATTTATAAAATTTAAAACTCAAAAAATAATGTAGATCGACATATCTACGGAAACTTGAAAATCTTAAAAATTGATGGTCCAAAAATGCGTTACAAAATACACTATTTCCAAAACTTGCAATCCATTTTTGTCTTATGTCCATGCATCTTGATGTTGAGATAACAATTTGAAGATATTTGGGCATCAAAACAACCTCTTCTAGAGAAATTTTTGAGGTAGGCTAAAATTTGATTGTTTAGAGCCTATATTTTCCCTTTATTTTATATTTTAATTAGATCTATAAATTGAGGCATATTTAAGAAATATTTTTTTACTCAGGTGAATTTAGAACTTTTATTAATATGAAATTATTAGTTTTAATGTGTTTGGCTCTTGAATAGAAACTATGATTTTCATAACTACAATAGAAACAGTGACCAGGTCCCATATTAATAAGTAAATATTGCCATTTTCATGTTCTTCTGACCATTTTTATTTATTACATAAAAAAATTAGAAATACATTTTTAAAAACTGTGAAGGCCATTTTTCAATAAAATTACTGATATTGTGAACTTTTAAAAACTGTGAAGGCCATTTTTCAATAAAATTACTGATATTTTGAACTTTGTGACTGCTCGTTAAAATTCATTTGTTAATGAACAATACTTTTAATTTTATATTCATTTGTTGGTGAAATGGAGATTCTTGGGTAGAAACACTAATTTTCTGTTGTTTCAAATGTAGTTTTCAATGTTGAGTGATTTCAACAGAATATATGCCCTCTATAACTGACAAATGCTGTGTTATGCCATTGACAAATGACATAGAAAGCTCTTATTCCAAATTCTTATGTAGATTAACAAATATTCACATTATAAGATAGGTCTACTGTACAATAACAGACATTCATATCATGGACATGTATACAGCGTATAGCACCTATAATTGCTTAAGGTTTTGACAAACTGCCTAGATGGTTAGTTGTCCAATCTCAACCAAATTATATATTATAATGCCTTCCCTTGGTATATTTTCCTTGCTTTTTTTATACCAAATAGCATATGTTCCTAAAGATATTGCATTAGATAAAATGAAATATTCAGATTCTTACAATATCACAATCCCATTCTCAATAAATATGGCCATCCATTCCAATGAACAATATATTAACTGAACCAGAAGTAAACCGTACACACAAGCAAGTTTCATCGCACACTATGATAGTGTTACCTTGATCGGCTTGTGGGCCAAACACAGAGTCAAACTTGAACACCTTCTTGGGTCCTCCATTAGCTTTGACAGAAATCTCTCCGTCTTTAGCACCTTCAAAATCTACCGCCATTGAAACTCCAGATGCAATCTCTTCAGAATTTAGAGGTCGGCATCTGCAGAAGACTCTAATATTTCCTATTGGGAGAGAGAGAGAGATTCAGGCCATTTTTCAGATTACTTGACTAGGAGTCAACTTGGCCAACTAAAACAACATACCTTAGAAGCATCATGTATATATATACAGAATCTAATATTCCGGTTAATGGGAAGTAAATGTTTACTAAGTATCTATTAGAAATGCTTTTGCAGATTTGCTTGCTTTCCTATTTATGGCGCTTTTGATAGAATGACATGATTTAGTTTTCACCAAGGGATGATAACATCTTTGATAAAAGACAAGGTAACTCTACATGTAAGCAGGTGGATAAACCACACGTTAACCCATGTTTTTTATTCTTGGGAGATTGTATCAATGATTGAATTCACAGAACTACTCACAAAAGCATATATAAAATTCCGGTTGTTTTCCTCATGACAAATGCTACGTGAAACTCTGCTTGAGTTTCCTGAGTCTAATACTAGCTAGCTCAAGTAGAGTTTCAGCACTGAAGCCACCTACATCTGGTCGGTAATGCTTTTTATGCATATCAGTAATATAACAGTGTCAAATATTAAGACAAATTGTAGTTATTATGAGAAAGAAATCCCAACATCAATGGTAAAAAAATTTAAATTCCATGAAATATAATTCATGCAGATCTTAATACAAAGATTAATTATAAATAACATAAAGATAAACCTGCAATCAGTTAATTACCCACCTTTCATTTCAAGGATTTTATTGTAAAGTTGTTTCTTTTCCTTTGCCCCTTCATTGAATTTGACCTTGAGATCTTTATGTTCTCTTTCTAGGTCCGAGTGTTGAATCACTAGAAGAAACGGAAACCAAGAATCAGGTTATCTGAACCTTACCATCCATTTAGGTAATGATCTCTTCTCTGTGTGTGTGTGTGTATGTGTGTCTGTGTGAAGTGAGATATAATAATTGAAGGAGATGGAAGAAGAGCAAGAGAGCAACAGATGCCTTCATACTTGTAGAATGGATGATGGAATTCATATTTGTTATATCATTTAGAAACCCTTTACAATCTAAAGCCTCCTTTGATAAGCGGAGATGGTCCATCTTCAGGTACTGTTATATCCACATTCCCAAAACCATGAGCATGAGAGAGAGAAAGAGATTAGAAATTCATAAACATGTCTCTGAAAGAACCACGTGCCTTGATTTTCTCATCCAGCTCTTTGAGAGAAGCAATCCAGTGGTTCCTTTCATTTTCGTGCTGGTCCAAAAGGTCTTTGCGTTCATTAACTTGCCCCTCTACAGCACAGGCTGACAAAAAAGGAAACAAAGTTTCCATGAATTAAAAACTGGAATGTAATTCCAAAAAATGCAAATTAATAAAGTAGGTTTTATCTACCTCATTTATGATAGACTAGTTTTCACTACCTAATGCATAAAGCCATAAACTTACGTACAAAGATCCTCCAAGAAAGACAATTTAATGGAATGGATTTTCTCTACCTAAGGAACTAACATGCATGGACTTGCGCATAAGTTCATCTCGGAGTCGTTGTAAAGATGTCTGTGCTTCATTGCATTCTTTATTCTTCAATTCATACTCATTTCTATATTCTTCCAAAGCCGTTACGGCTTGTTGACATTCTTTTTGCAGTAATTCATACTCTCTTTTGATCTTATTGATCCCTTCATTTTGTCCGCAATAATTACAGACTTTGCATTCAGCCTGAAAAGGAACCAATGCGAAAATTTGTGTGTGTGTGAGAGAGAGAGATAGAGAGAGAGAGAGAGAGAATTACTAAAGAATCTAGTCTAGTGAAAACATACACCAAAAAAAGTAAAAATGTAGTCAACAAATGCTATGCGTTTCCATTAGATTGTAAATCCCTCAAAACATTTGATCAATCCAAAAAAAGAAAACCAAAGAAGAAAATCAAAAGTACTCCTCTAAAAAGCAATCAAATTCACGTTACTCTTAAAACTATTTGTTCTAGCATTTGGGTTTCTCCTTGAACTTGCTCCCCAGTTGAAGAAACATGATGGGTTGCTTGTCTTTGAAGTACATGTCCTGAACAAAAACCAAAAAAGTTGAACTTTATGAGTTTGTGATACAACAAAAGCATAATCTTTATCGTCCAATAGTAGTAATGTTTTTCTTTTTCACTGCAAATGCGTATGTATATTATCATATATTTTACCTGGAGATATGTTTTCCTTTATGCAGATGCCAGAGAGAAGGGGGCTCCCAATAACCCCTTCAAATATAATAGAAAGGCCCTCCTCACCCTTTACCACGGCTACGAGATCATATATAACCAATGGTGAATTAGAACCCACTTTTTCATATATATCAATACCATCTAAAGCCTGCCAAATTGAAAAAAAGGTAACATAAGTACTACTAAAAAAAGAAGACAACAGTTTTGGGTATATAAATTACAGATATCATTTAGAAAAATTGTTATTCATTTTATTATTCATAGATATGTTCTTTGTGTTTTTCTGAAAAAAAAAACACAGAAATGAAAGATAGAAAAGAATAAGAGTAATGTTGAATTGAAAAATGGCATGAGAAATTCAGCTTAATCTTAGAATTCTCACCTTCTCTTCTTGAATATAGACATCAAATACACGCATACCAGGAGGGCCTTCTGTAAATATAATCTCAGCAAAATGCAGGTCAATATGGTAATTGCCTGGGGGGAGGGATCGAAACCCATATGAGAAATTCCCTAATCGAGCTGTTTGATACAATGTGATGCTCTCATCTCCTTCAATTGCTCGCACTTTTGCATCTGTTCTAATAGTATCACCACCATGGAAGAACTCATCTTCTTCGAATTCAACCCCATTAGAATTCACAGTCCTGTGATTTTCTCCAGCATTAATGCTTATTAATGGCCGGAACTTTTCCAAAATATTGGGGTTTTCTTTCTCAATAAGCTTGAGTGAAGATTCTAAATTTCTGGACTTTCCTGGTGATTCCACCTCAGGAAACATTGCAGTGGTAATCTCAGCTATGCTCCACCGGCTTTCTGATGATATAGAATTCAAATTTTCAGGACAATGGCTTCTTTTTTCAGGTGATAGCTCACATATGCGAACTTTTCTCTTTATGAATTCTGGGGTGTCTTTTCTCTTTATGAATTCTGGGGTTTCTTCGAATTCATCACCATGGTTTTCAAGAGAGCCAGCACAAATCACTAGATCTGGACAAGTGAGGGAGAATCCACCCATGGTACCTAAAACCCACAAAAGCCAAAGTCAATTGAGCCCCCAAAAAAAAACCCACTGAGCCAGATTAAAACATGAACCAGAGGTAAACAGAGAAAAACCCAAAAGCCAAAGTCAATTGAGCCCCCAAAAAAAAACCCACTGAGCCAGATTAAAACATGAACCAGAGGTCAACAGAGAAAAACCCAAAAGCCCTGATAAATCCTTGATCTCCAAATTCAAGAAAATGGGCCTTTTTTAAAAAGAAGATCAGTCAGTAAAAGAAATGGGTTTCATTCAAGTTTAGCTAAGAAAAAACATTGCAAAAAACAACACTCAGGAAAAATTGTTTACGACTGCAATGTAGAGAGAGCCTCAATAAATAAATAAAAACCTACACCCATTTGGGATATGATCCTGGCCTCTTGATTTTTGGAAGCTTGTTTCCTGGCAAGAAACGTCTGTAAATAGAAGGGGATCGTTCCAACATTCTTCCATTGCCAGATGCAGATTTACAGTATTTACGGTGGAGAGAGAAACAAACCTAAGGGAGAGGGGTAGAGAGAGAAATAGACTAAGAGAAAGAGGAGAGAGAGACCAACGCGATCAGAATAACAGGCTTCAGAGAGAGATGAAAGAGTGAAAGCAAAATCGAAAGAACCACGAAGATTTTAGAGAGAGAATTTTTAGAAAGGAAATTCCTGTTTCATTCCTCTAAACGCTCGATCACACACATTAAATTTGCCGTTAGACAGAAGAGACGACCGTTGGAGTTTCAAATTTCGAATTGCGTGCGAATTAAATTGTAAAGAAAGCGTAACTTTAACCTAACTCGACGCTTTTAATTTGAGCTTCTCACTCTCCCTTAAAAAAACTCTTGCTCCTGTGGGAGCATATTATCTATCTACTACCTCGGTAAAACCCTAGTATTTTAAGACTCCAAATTTTGGGGATATAACAAGGACTGTCAATTTTTTTGGGGAGGAAGATCTAAGTGTTGAAAATTTCAAAATTCAATAATTTTTTAATAATCATTTATTGATTCTTAGCTAGATCCCAAATTTAATATAAAAAAACTCCTCCCAAGTAGCTTTTTTTTTGGCAAAGTAAAACTTGACCCTACAATGTTTTCCTTTCTAAAATAAAAACGAATTGTCACGACACAGCTGAAAATAGCCCTTCTACCCTCTTTTACCCAATTGAGTAAGTCTAAAGTATATGCTCTTGCATCAGCATGTTCTTTTTATTTATTTAAAGATTGTCTCTTGTTCCTGAAAAATTCACAAACATACTGGCCATCAATTGTGAAACAGGTGGATCATATTCAAAGTCATACTAACCATCAAATGTGAAACCAGGTGGATCATACTCAAAAGTCAATTTCATTTTTTCCTTTCAGATTTTATGCAGAGAAATGATGCACTCTCATCTACAAGATTTCACATATAATGATTATGGGTGATTGTGACTTTTTTATAGTGAAATAAATGGTATTATAGCATGCAATTCCTATTTCCCATTCTTTTAAAAAGTATAAGAGATGTTTTATTTCTTGGTAAAATAGGCTCCTTCCTAAAAGCCATGAAGGTTTTACTTCTAAGTTGTCCATGTTAGTTTTCAAAATAGAAATATGTTTTTTAAGTAAAACTGGAATTTTTTTTTGATAAGAAATACAATTAAATAGGGAAATTATCGTTAATATACTTTAAATTTAATAAAATTGAAAAAAAAAAAAAAAAAACCTCGAACTTTTCAAATCCTCGCCTACACGTTTTTTTCCAATTTTTATAATTTTTTAGACGAAAATACCCTTTATGGCAGTCTTTCTACCATAATGGCATGATAGAATTACAGTACTTTGAGTACTCTAATACTCATTACGATAATCTTAATACCAAAATGCCCGTAATAACTATAAATACGTTTAAAAGCATCACGGTACTAAGCGTACCATAATAAACATTACGATACTCTTAATACCATAAAGCTTGTGTTGAGATTTGGGGGATTTAGCTGCAAGAGAGCGAATGACTCTTTGGAGTCTTCTGCACGACACTTTCTGTTCCTCCTCCCATTGCGGCAACTCTGGGTACGCACTTTCAACAAAGCGATCAACAATTCCCTGCAAAGCAATTTCTGCCGGAACCAAATGCTTAATCTCAATTTCTGGCACTTGAAACCCAAGGGAAGATGTCACATGATTGCATATTTGCGTTCCAATAGCTTTACAGCAGGTGCACCATCATCACCGAATTCATTGAACCTTGGCCAAGCAGCAAGTATAAAAATCGAAGAGAACAAAACTCTTCTTACGAATGAAATGAATCCCAATTCCGCCTTAAATCCAACAAAAAAAAAAAAAACAAAACTTTTTCAGCAAAAACCGCTTCAAATTCCAACCAAATGGCTCTAAATTCCGGCACAAACGAACCAGACCTCAAATAAATCCTGTTAAAGTCCTTTCAAAATCCTGCCAAAAAACCCAGCAAAATCAGGCTAAATTTCCGCAATTGGCCTGAAATTTAATGGGGTTCTCTCGCGTACTGTAATGCTTTTAAATTTCTTTACGGTCATAAAGGTCTAAAGTTCATTGGAGTTCCAGTTTACTTTGGACCATTACGGTCTTTTTATGACCGTAATGGTCTTAAGGAGCATTTGAGCATTGTACTAAGAGTACCGTAATGCTCATTATGGTAAAAAAAACTACTGTAAAGCGTATTTTTGTCTAAAAAATAGTAAAAATTGAGAAAAAAAAGTGTGAGTGAAGTTTTGGGAAGTTTGAGATTTTTTTCTAATTTTGTTAAAATTAAGATATATTAGCGATAATTTCCCTTAAATAGAGTTATATTATTTGCAAAAAGATGATTGCAAAAGATGAAATTATTGAACGTACTCCCTCCTTATTATTATTTTTTTTTGTTTCTCGTTAATATTGAAAAATGAAAAGTAAGTTTGTTGTCTTGAAAGCTTAAATTTACATGATTTTTTTTTTGAACTGCGGGTATTAAAAAACTATGACATTTATGAAAACATCAAGTGTTAACATGTTTTTTTTTTTTTTTGCTTTTTGTTTTTTTTTTCCCTTTTTCATTTATCATTAAAAAAATTACAATGTTTTTATTGCATGGTCCCAAATCCTGATGTTTGCCTTTTTCTAAAGGAAAGGTATACCTTTAGTACAAGATGGTCACATTTAATCTTGATCATTAGATGTGAAATTTGGTGGTTACTTTCATTTTATTGACCAAGTTCAACATTAAAAAAAAAAAACAAAAAGTTTTTCAACTTTGTGATATGCTCAAGCTATCAAATTTCACTTTGGATTGTTATAAGTAATCGTGACAGCCTTGCACTAAAGGTAAATCGTATCATTATATAGGTGTAGTTTGCATAAAGTATAAACAATTAAAGTAAGGTGCACCACCAAATTTTATTGCAAGATATAATTTTAGTATAAAAAATTCTTAGGATGACCTAAGAATCCATTTACATCAATAATTATGAAATTTTAGCTTCAAAAAATAGTTCAAATTAAATAGATCTATAAACACGTGAAAATCTTAAAAATGGACGGTCTATATAATATGGTTCAAAATACAATATTTTTGGGATTTTAAATCTTTTTTTTTTTCATATTCATACATCTCAATGATGAGACAATCAATTAGAGGGTTTGCCAACTTCAAAACAATCTTTTACAATGGATTTCTTAGGTACACCTTAATTCTCCATTTTAAGGTTGCCACCTTATATAAACTTTTTTCCATACAAAGGTGTCAACATAGGAGAGGTCACCAAGATGAAGTTTTGTACCACCAATGTTACACAAAGATACGGATATCTGAAACAATGTCTAACACAATACGAGTTATAGAAATGCTGCCCCATAATTGGCCTTTGAGACATACGATGTCCAGCATCATTCAGAATAGAGATGAGGTAAAGTTCCATGTTATACTAAAATAGTTTTATAATGAGATTCCAAAAAAGAAAACTTAAACAAGGAAGATGATTTCTGTGAGCCAATTGGCATAGTATAAGTTGGAAAAACCAAGTTGAAGGAGAAGAGAATCAAAACAGGCAACAAGAGTGGACTCACTTTACCACGATATTTTCAAGAAACCAGGATCTTTTTATTTTTATTTGAAGTATTTAGATCAGATATACACGTGTCCAGAAATGGGAGTCCATCCGATCCCATGTGGTTCTTCGTCTATTCCTGCCTATCCCTGTATCTGGCTCTTCGTCTACCCCTCTCCTCCAAATCCAATCTGGGTCATCCAGCCTATATTGTGCCAAAGGCTAGTCGGCTTGTATGAATTGCAAGTCTTTTAACTTTCTAGCTTTGTTTCGGTTCTATTAAGCATCATGATCATGAGGTAAGCTCGCCATAGCTCTCCATGCTATAGCCAAATAATCAAACTTACACTGACCAAGAAAAACCCATTCGCTCTTTACACTAAAAGAAACACTTATCGATCTAACTGCCAGCCTTTCCTAGAACTTAGTCCTCCCATGGCTCAGCAAATCTAATAGAAAATGTCAGTTCAAGCACGAATTTTCATGCCGTCATTTTTCACAATATTATCAGAGAATGTTAGCTCAATTTAACCATGGCTCTTCTTCAATTTGCACTCTCGCGTTACCTGAACACTTCATATTTTTCTTGGTGTCGTGTGTTGACATGTATGGACAGTTAGACACATGTCGACATGCACAGACCGCCACTGACACTTAATCATATGTGTCTGATGATGTCAGCAATTTTTGAGTATGTATCGACACTTTATAAGTGTGTGGCTCAGCAAATCTACATGGAATGTGAGCTTAAGAAGGAGTTTTCCATGTCTTTGATTCTCTCACAAGTAACATCTGAGAGAATACATCCTTTTTTCCTTCAAATATTAACTTTGTCCATCTCATTTCAAATATCATAGAGATTGCTAGCTCAGTAATACATCCTTTTTTCCTTCAAATTTTAACTTTGTCCATCTCATTTCAAATATCATAGAGAATGCTAGCTCAGTCAGGTAGCCATGCCTCTTCCTCCTTGATTTGTAAACTCAAGGCATCCAGGATACTGTAAATATCTTCTGATCTCGAATGAGACTGATCTCCTGCACTGAAAGCATGCACTCGCCCTCGCATCTCAAGCCAGCTGAACCCTGTGTTCTTCCTCAAACCTCGATTCTTGAGCATAGCCCTTAGCTTAGCCACTTTCTCCCACTTCCCAGCGGATGCATAGATGTTAGAGAGAAGAACATAATTCCCTGCATTTGATGGCTCTCTCTTGAGAAGCTCCTCGGCTGCAAACTCTGCAATGTTGGTATCTTTGTGGACTTTACAAGCACTTAAGAGTGCACCCCATATTCGAGAATCAGTTTCAAATGGCATGGTCTCTATGAGCCTTAGGGCTTCTTCAAGATTGCCCTTTCGACCCAAAAGATTGACCATGCAAGCATAGTGTTCCAGTTGAGGCTCACAGCCATGGCTAAGGCTCATGCCATTGAATATGTCCCAGCCCTCAAACAAGATCCCCAAGTGGGCACAAGCTGATAACAGCCCCAAGAATGTAACATGATCAGGCCTCACTTTCTCTCTCTTCATTTGCGCAAACAAATCCTTGCACATGATCCAATTCCCATTCATGGCGTAAGCTCCGATCATCGCATTATAAGCCACAACATCTCTATCTCTATTTAACAATTCTCTGTGGAAAAGCTCCTGCGCAGCTTCTATGCAGCCCAATTTGGTATAGCTCACCAAGAGAGATGTGACTAAGGAAGTGAGAGAATCTAAATTGTATTTGGTCATATAGCAATGTATGTTCTTCACTACTTGAAGTGCTCCTAAGCTCACACAAGCAGGCAACACATTAACCAGTGTGATTGAATCAGGTCTCATGCCCTCGTGCATCATTTGCGCATAGAGAGCTAGAGCTTCAACACTTCTTTCATGGCGTACATACCCTTGTACAATGCAACTCCAGGAAACCACTGTTTTATTCGATAGTTTTTCAAAAATCAAGTGAGATTTCTCTAAATCCCCACATTTTGAGTACATATCAATCAATGAATTCTGAACTGTAACTTCATAGGCGATACAGTTTCTTACTGAATGAGCATGGAGCTGCTTGCCCAATACAACAGCTCTCATTTCAGCAACTGCTATGATGGCCATGACCACTGTGATGTGATCAGGCTTGATGCCTGAAATTTCCATTTCTCTAAACAAGTTTAGTGCATCTACTGGTAGATTGTTCTGGTTATACCCTCCTATCATGGCATTCCATGAGACTACATCTCTCTCATGCATTCTTTCAAAAACCCGACGACCCATTTCTAAACTTCCAAATTTAGTGTACATTGCTACAAGACCAGTACCAATAGTTAATTCTCCCTCTAGATCATTCAAAACAATCACACAATGAAGAGCCAGGCCTAACTGTAAACACCCAAGCTTAATGCACGCACGCAACATACACGTCATAGTAACATAATCTGGACTAATACCTTTCTCTCTCATCTCTCTAAAAAGTGAAAAAGCCCCATTAGCATCCCCACACAAATTGCAACCCTCTATCATTGTATTCCAAGATATCAAATTTCTCTCAGGGATTTCATCAAACAAATTCCTTGCAATTACAAGCTTGCCAGCTTTAAGATACAAATGAAGAAGTGCAGAGCTCACAAAAACAAAGGATTCATAGCCTAATTTAACAATATCAGAATGAATTTTCTCACCATACTGAAATGCTAGTACATAGGAGCAAGATTTAAGCACAAATGGAAAAGCAAACTCGTCTGGGTACATAGAATTCACAAAAATTCGCCTATACAGTTGCAGAATTTCATCAAACAATCCATTGTTCGAATGGTTTCTGATGATGGTATTGAACAAAATAAGAGTTGGGTTTGTCACAGTGTCAAGAATCCTTTGGGAATAGCCATGGTTTTTAGTGAGAGAATACAAGTTTATTAGCTCATAAGCTATACTCGCGTTTTGGTGGAGGCCATTAATGATGTATCTAGCATGAAATTGTTGGACAAATTGGACGCTAATGGGTTCAGTTAAGAGAGAAGCTAAGGAGCTCAAACTCACAGTTTTGGTTGAAGAGAGCTTGTTTGGCGTCATGAATAGTTTCTTCATCAACGATGGAGCAAATGCTTTCATGGCATTTCATATAGATGGCTTGTAATTTCAAAAAGGACATTTCATGTCATTTGGATGCAGTTTTTGAAAAGATTTTTGAATTACCTCCAAACATAGCATGTCGAGGGACTGTCAATAATTCGGTTCACCATAAAATTAGAAATAAATCGTTTTTTTTTTTTAAAGTTGGATAAAAAAATCTGGTGAAAAGTACGAATTCACAAAAAATATTTCATAGAAAGATATCACAAATATATCGCCCTAGGATCAACAAATCGGAGTAAAAAAATAGGTTAAGTTTAAAAATAATAGAAATTGTGAAATACACCTATTTAGTAGGTTCCAAAAAAAATATACCATATGAATACACCATGATAAATACAGCATATGGATACACCATGATAAACACACCATATGGATTCGCCATATTATAACTACGGTATGGTGAGTTGGAAGCATCCGGAGATATGATAACTACCGTATGGTGAGTTGGTGACCCGTTACTTCAAAGTTTAAACAGCCGCAAGAAGCTTATGGAGTTCTGGACAGAGATGAAGAAGAAGAAAACCCCAATTGGAGCAGCACTCAGAAAGGGAGAACCAGAGAAGCAGTACATACAGAGAGACAAGCAGCATGCAAAGAGGGAGCAACAAACAGTTCCTATGGGTTTGAGAAAATGAAAAAAAACCTGTTTGGGGATTGAGTGAGAGAGAGAAGCAGCAAGCACAGAGGAATGGGTTTGAGGATATGAAAAAACCCATTTGGGGATTGAGTGAGATAGATAGAAGCAGCATGCACATAGCAAGCAACAGACTACACAGGTTTGGGGATATGAAAAAACCCCTGATCTAGTTTTTTTTTTAAGCTGTTGTATTGATTTGGTAATTTGGAATTCTGGAGGACTTTGAACCCTAATTTGGACTGAATTTTTGGTGGAATTTTGTCAAGCCAAAATTTGGGAATTTTTTATTCAATAGTTTTCATGCTTGTTTATTCTACTTTGTGATAATCTGGATGGTCCGACCCCTAATTTATAATAATCTCGATGGTTTGAGCCCTAATTTATGATGGTTTTATGCCATAAACAGTAGTTCCATAATAACTTAATAATCACAAAAATCTGCATCTATTTTATATTTTTTTAAATAATATTTTTTTTAGAAAGTATGAAAATAACAGCATAGAAAAAAGTTTTTTATCTTTCAAAAAAAATTACAGGTCAAATAAAGGATACGACTTTTTTGGTTCACTTTAATTCGTTTTTCTTAAAATCTCATTTTAAACGTTTTTTTTAAAGAAACATTTTTTTTGCTGAACTTTTAAATAAAGCGCCATTTTAAACGTTTTCCATGAAAGCGCCATTAAAAAAAAAAAAAACTCTAGCTTTAAAGGCCAACTTGCTAGCTATGCCTCCGAAGCTATGTTTTAACTTTTAAAAAATTGCTTTTCAGATTGGAATCACCTCATCCGACGCGGGAATATGCGAGGCCGTCTCAGTTTCTTGAATATAGGGAAAACTAAGTGGTTCCGGCTTTGAACCAGTGGGTTCTCTAACATAACTCACTAGTTTTGTTTGGAAACAGCCTGTCCAATCCTATACTTTATTTTTTATTATTTATAATTTGTATTTTGTTTTCTTTTTTATCCTTTAATGGCTGATTCTCCTGGCCACATCCCTTGATAGGGACCGGCAATTTTCTAACCTAAACCGGTATCTCAAATGGCCAATTCACCATGCCGATCTAGGTTTTTAAATATCGTTCCAAAGTATAACTTGAAAATATCCCTTTAAATTATCAAGAAATGTCTAGATTTTCAACTTATCTCCAAAAGTATAAGTTCAAAACATCCCTTTAAATTAACAAGTAATGCCTAAAGATTCTCAACTTGCCCCCCAAAAGGATATTTCAAGCAGGAAAAAAAGTAAGAAAAAAAAAAAAAAAAAAGAAAAAAAAAAAAGTATGAACGTAATATTTAAATTTTTAAAGATATTTTTAGGGAAAATTTTGTATAGACCCCTAATTTATCGTATATTTCATAGTAGACACTCATTTCGTTTTTCTTTCAAGCGGCATAAAAAAACTCCTAAATATTTCACCGTACTCTTTCATCTTTTATCTCCTTCTTTTATTGATTTTTTATCATAAAAATTAGCTCCAATAAATCTTTTTATACTATTTCAACCCAAACACGTTTTTAATGGGTCCCTAACAAATCTTTTTATATTATTTCAACCCAAAAACATTTTTAATGGGTGGAAAAGAAAACATAAGGTTAAAAAAGTTTTTGATATGAAAAGGTATAAAAAGATTTGGTGGGAAAAATTTTTAGGGTCAAAAGTCAATAAAAATGGAGATAAGAGATGAAGGGATATAGTAAAATACTTATGCGGCTTGAAAGAAAAACGGCAAGATGGTCTATCATGAAATAATATGAGGAATTAGGGTTCTATATGAAAATTTCCCTATTTTTAAATGCCAGTAACTTTAAAGTGATATTTTTGTAAATTTCTTGTTAATCCCAAATATTTTTTGACTTACCTTCAAAAAACATATTTCATTACTGTTTGGTCTTTGAAAGTTCGGATTGATGTAACTATAGATTTGGGTTGTTTAGCTCTATAATCTAATTCCATATGCAATTTTATCTATAATATGAACATGAGATTTATATTTGGGCTATGAAGTTTTTAAAACTTCTACTTTTATTGTCAATGAATTATATTTTGTGTTGCACATGTTTTTTGAGCTTGGTGTGTATGGTACTTGGTACTCTGCTAAGTAAAGGACCTATGAATTTTATGAGATGTGAAGCAATGGATTCTTTTCAAGAGTGTAGTTTTTGTCGAGCATGTATTCTTTTATTATTATTATTTTTAAGATGTAATTAGTTGGGAAAAGCTTTGATGATGTATTTTTTTTTAGCATGCATACCAAATTCCCTCAGAAGTATAATTTATAATTTACTCCTACTCCCTCAATTAGAAGACCTACTTGAGAGCATTTTTTCAATTTGAAAATTTAGGAACTAAGAATTACTAGATGATTATTTAAAACAAAAATTTGAAATTCGAATTTTCTAATATTTAGACATCACCATCTAAAAAACTGGATGGTCTCTATTCAATCTCGAGGCGCCATTTTTTTCATGTGCATAGAGGATACTATTAGGGTTTTTTTTATTTATTAGGGTAAATCTATATGCTGAAACTTGAAAAAGTTACTTCCCCAAAATTTGGGGTCTTAAAATTAATTTTAGGTCAGATTTTACCCGAGGGAGTAAATGGACATTCCGTTCCCGTAAGAGTAAAATATCTTTTGGCTTTTTTTTTTTTTTTTACTAGTTCAACGAGAGGAATCGATCTTGAGATGTAATGACAAATGCATCAAATGTGTATTCTTACTTTCTTGGAAATATATTATTTTGGGGTTTGCTATAAATGAGTGCTAAAAAACTTCCAAGTTTTCCTTCTCTGGCATAAAATGTGACCATATTCAACAGCTTTATGAGCTGATCAAGAATACAATGGGAGAGTTGTTGCAGTGTCATAGGATTCTAAAGACATTGCAGCATATCTCATGTTTTTAATATAATATGGATTTTTAATATCCAAATTTTAGATAACTTGGAATTTGAAAAATCTGGAGTTCTTTGTGGGTCCTATTGGCCATGCAACAAGAATATGTGATTGCTGCATCTAGAGGGAACTCTAGATATTCAAAATCCATAGTCCAAAAGACTTCAAATTTGGAAAAGTCAAAAGTATTATTTGAAATCCAATTTGGAGGGAATTTCAAATTTCAAAAGGGTTGTCTACAAATATACCATTTATCTTTTGTACAATACCATTCATCTTAGGAAAAGAGCCTAGGCTTAATTGGTTAGCGCATGATGATTTACAACGATTTGTCCTTGGCTCAATTCTTAACAAGGGAAGGGGCCCTCTCCCTATTGACTCACCCAAAAGAAAAAAAGACAATACTATTTATCTTTTGTGCATGAAGGTTACAATCTTTCTTGTCCCTTAAATTTCAAAATGAGCATAGAGGTTACAATCTTTCTTGTTCCTAAAATTTCAAAATAAGTATGGAGGTTACAATCTTTCGACAATACTATTTATCTTTTGTGCATGGAGGTTACAATCTTTTTTGTCCTTTAAATTTCAAAATGAGCATGGAGGTTACAATCTTTCTTGTCCCTTAAATTTCAAAATGAG